AACCCCAGCCCCAACCCCAACCTTAAGCCCCTAACCCTAACCCTAACCCCTGACCCTGACCCTAACCCCTAACCCTAACCCTTCCCTAACCCTGACTCCTACCCTGACCCCGACCCCGACCCTGACCCGAACCCTAACCCTCACCCTAAAACCCTAACCCTGACTCTGACCCTGACCCTGACCCTAACCCCTGACCCTCAGACCTAACCCTACCTCTACCCTAATCCCTAACCTAACCTAATGCCTAACCTTAGCTAAAACCTATAACGTTTACCCTTACAAATCATAAATGGAATTTACAAACTTTAGAAACTTCTCTTCATCAGCATACACCATTAGGATGATATTTAGATGAGACTGGGGAGACAGCAATAGATACAGTACTTGTCATGAATGCCTAAGGACCTGAGTTCAGATCCCCAGGGCACAGAGGAAAGATGCTTGGTCTGGCAACACAAGCCTGAGATGCCAGTGCTGGAGGAAGAAACAAGCAGAGAGACCTCGATTCAAAAAACAAGGTGCAAACATTAAAGGAAACTATTCCAGCATCAACTTTAGCCTCCACATTGGCACACATGGGTGAGCACACTCATACATATGCACACATATGGACACCCCCCTACACACACACAAGAAAATATTTAGGAAGGCCTCCAACTTGGGGAGTAAACAAGCTTCATGTAATATGATAATAAATGTAGGATGTACAGTAAAGATCATATGCCATTTATTCCGTGGACATAGCCAAGCATGGCAGTGCACGCACTTGGGAATCAGAGGCAGGTGGATTTCTGTGAGAGCAAGGCGAGCCTGGTCTCCATAGCAAGTTCCAGGCTACCTGGGACTAAAGAGAGACCCTGTGTTAAAAAAAACAACCCCAAAATATAAATATAGTATGGTGATAATAAATACTAGGATTCTGGGAATGCAATTCTAAGGATGAAATAAAAAGAAAAATGAGTGGATGGTTATACCATATATTGTTTGTAGAAACTCAGATAAAAAGAACACCTTTCTTAATTCAGTAACAATATTTTAATATAAGACTAATTTTTTTGTAGAATATGTTGAATAACAATATGGGATTTCCAAGTCAAGGAAACATGTCTTTAAAGTAGATAGACTGTTTTAATCCTTTCTTTTCAATTATACATTAGTAATTTATATTCTGTTAGTGTATATCAACTTGACAAACTAATGATTTTCATTGAGACCTTTTCTCACAGCCCACATTACCCTCCCTTCCCTCCCTGCCTACCCCTGGTTCTTCTTCCCCCACAACCTCCCTGGTACTTTCACTTCTCTCTTTTCTACTGACTAGTCTTAATAGTGCATTTTGTAATCAGACTGGATTGGGACCATTGGGAATTCTATAATTGGATATTCAAACTTACTTTTAAAAAAAGGTTAAGAATACTGGAATAAAAATTAGGCCATGAGCAGCCCCAAAAAACATAACAAGAAACATAATCTTAAAAAACATTCTGAATACGTATGCTTTAGCTGCAGATAAAACACACATGCCTATTACTGTTGAAATTGCACTTTGCAACACTGGATAGCCTAGCATGTATAATGCCTCCGTGCACTTTTTGTTTGCTGAGGTCTCAGAACTGGAAAAAATGCGTAGGAGACGTGTCCAGAAAAATCAAAAGAAAACCCTATACAAATGACAAGAGTGATCATGGATATGGAGTCAAGGTTGACATTCCAGAATGCCATGAAACCTGTCACCCCCACAATCACAGAAGCAATATCAAAAGTGACCCACAAGGAACACATCGGATAAGGGATTAACAACAAGGAGACAATGAACGTAGCTGTGGATGCAATTATCACGGACCCACAAGGAACACACCGGATGAGGGATTAACAACGAGACAATGAACGTAGCTGTGGATGCAATTATCACATTCCGCACAGTGTTCTCGATGACTGCAGCATTCTGATCAAAATAGATGAAGGCTGGGTTGTACACCATCAGGGGGACATCGCAGTTTTCAGCGATGCCCCGTAACTGCAGCAGCATTTTCTTCTTACTGCTGGAAGAGGAAACCCCTATAGTCTGGATGAAGAACCGGGAAGAAGAGATTTCATTTGATGTTGAAATATTAATATCATATGTGAAAACAGGATAAAGTCTTAAAAAGCCACCAATATTAGCCATAAAAGCATTCTTATTATTTGGATCATTTCCAGTCTTTTTCATAAACTGAACATATGCTTCCAACCAAAATTTGATGTTGAAATATTAATATCATATGTGAAAACAGGATAAAGTCTTAAAAAGCCACCAATATTAGCCATAAAAGCATTCTTATTATTATGGGTGTTTCCAGTCTTTTTCATAAACTGAACATATGCTTCCAACCAAAAATCTGTGAGATTTTTATCTACATATTCATTTTCTTCAAATTTTACCATACATTTGTTCAGGCTCTGTCTTATATCTTTGTCCCAGTAGTTGATGCTTTCAGTAACAATAACCATAACCCTTGGGCCGTATTCTGAGAAGTAATCTTCCTTGACATTAAAATATGGTGTGATGTAGGAATCATCACTTGCCAGATTACGAAGGTCTAATCCTTCCTGCACTTGGAAACACCCATATATACTGCTTATGATGTAAAAAATGTATATCAGCACTACAGAAAACTTGGCTTTAGTCGTTGTGATAAATGGACCAAAATAGTCTCTAAAGAACAAATTCACTGGATGTTTATCTTCTCCATTTTCATCTGGAGAAGAGCTGAGTGGGAGACAGCAGGTCTTTTTTAATGAGAAAAACCTCTGGTCTGGATTGTCCAACCAGCAGAAGCAGGCAAATTCTCGTTTACCATCCAGGGCCATAATTGCTCCAAAACAGGTGATATTATAAAGATAACAAAAGATCAGGGTTGTTCCTGTGTAGATGAAGAAGTACTGTACGGACCTGAAGGAGCTAGTGATTCCTGTGTAGAAGGCCAGGACGTTGGTTGTGGTGGTGATTGTAATGGACACTGCCACCCTGAAATAAGAACTGGAGAGCCGTTCTCTTACACCATCCTTAAGGCTGGTCTTCTGCCAGGCAGAAATCATGATAAACATGTTATCAACCCCAACACCTGTAACAGAACAGCAGGATCTCCATATCTATTGATATATATCAGCAGTTAAATTGACTATTTTCTATCTCAAGGTCTCACCTGTCTTGCGGTCTCTGCTTAAACAGTCTTCCTTGCGATACTATCTCTGAATTCACAACAGAAATTGTCATGCCTTCCTCTCTAGTAAGTCTCAGTTTTCTAGATGCTTACACTATTTGTGCACAGCATAGAGGACTCTCTTTCTAGTGTTCACCCAGGGTGTCTTTGTGAAAAATCGAGGACACCCAGTCTGCAGATTCCACTTAAGGCACCATGAGTAATATAGCTTTGGTTCTATAAGCAATTTCAGACTAATACACAAACACACCCATCAAACCTTCTGCTGCTTGAAATATAAAGTTGTCAAGTGTGTCTACAGATAACATAAGGCCATCTAAATGGTACTGTTTGAATTGTATCTCACAGTTTGTAGACACCTGCCCAGACATGGACACCTGCACACGTCTGGTTTTCCTCCTGGTCTCTCTTTAACACCTTGCATGCTTATGGAGGCATGCTCTCACTGCCCCTGAGATCAGAAATGTGCGAAAGAGTGAATCTTAAGAATCCTTTACATACTAATGCCTACTAGGTAATTGGCTTCTTTTCACAATGACATTTCATGATTGCTTTGAAGCAGAAGAACATTGAAGAGCTGTGACATCGCCAATGCAGGAGAACAAAAGAGGACAGTAAAGAACGGGACCGGAAAGGACAGTCAGTCTGAGCCTGCTGCCAATCAGTTCTGTCTCCCTCTGAAATTCACCCGCAGTTCAGACTGCTTGCGCTTTTGTGTGAGTTAGCTTCTGCGTATGTTTACACAGGATCAGGTCTCGAGACTGAAATGCTAATATTAACTTCAATTTTTGTCTTCACAGAATACAAGTTAAGGTTGGTAGAAAACTGGGAATCACAGGCTGGCCTGTAGTTCAGATATTTATGGACATGATTGAGGTAGAAAGATTCAAAACTTGTCAAAGTTAAGGAAGTCTGTCAGAGACAGCATGGTGGTACCCCATAGCTGCTCCCAGCCATACAAAATAACCAAAGGCACTGGGGCCAGTGGAATGCACTGGCATCTCTCAGGTGTTTCTCTTATGTATAGAACCTTGTTCAGAAATTGTCCTCACAGTTCTTAAGTTGCTGGAGTCACATATACTTATGCACACACATACTCCTATATATACAGAGTATACAAAAGTGCCTCACAGTAGATCAGTTATATCCTTTTTAACTATAGTTTTTTAATGACTGTGAGGGCACCATGGCTGAGTGTATATAAGAGGGTGTACCATGGAGAGCCCAGTTAAACTGACACACAATGCGAACCCAGCTACTGTCTCTTCCAGGAAGCCCAAGATGATTTCTTCCAAAATGCTTAGTTTCTAATATAGATACGGCGATCTTTATTTTCTTGTGCCTACTTAAAATAAAATTTTAAAGTAGCACAAACACGAAAAGCAGCTATACCCTTCCCTTCAAGGATAATCTTGGATGTGTTGTAAGACCATCCATCTAGAATTTGTTCTAGGTAAATATACCCACATAATTATCTGTCACAAGGGTCTTGCTTTACAACCAGAAATTTTCATTTAATATCATCATATTTCTATCTTTTTTTAAAGACTGAATATCATTCCAATATTTTAATGTTTGATTTGATAAATACCATGTTCATATGGGATGAGGTTCCAATATTTCCTTATTCCAAAATACCCCAAATAAACCTATTTGTCTTACTTCTAATCAACTACAATTATCAGATCAAATTCCTAGAAGGGAAATTGCTGGTCAATGGTTCTTCATTCTTTTTAATTCATTTGATTTGTTGCAAACTGGGGTTGGGGGTGCATGCCAACTTACATTTTTCCTACTGTAAAGTATGGGGTGCTTATTTATACCAACATCCCAAACTGTCAGTCTTGCTGGTACTAATTAATCTACAAACTGATTTTTAGTTTAATTTGATACAAGATGCTTCTTCTATTTCCAGTGACTTCTGTGATTCTTTCCCACAGACACAGCACGAGGCCTCCTATTCTGCTTTACTCACCAAGGATGAGAAATGGTGAATTTACAACTATGGTCGCAAATGGCACCCCAATGTGCAGCATCAGGCCAAAGCCACTCACCACTGACATGGCCACGGCAAATACGCCACAGACTGCAACACACATTTTATTTTGTATACAGTTCAACCTGCAAATTTAAACAGAGAATTAGAACATGTGGTGATGACGTCCATATTGGAATTGACAGATGTCTAGGCAGAAAGCTCTGGGCTGATAATTTCCACATTTGTCTGCTCTAGACCTTCAACTCACAGGCACCATCCCATACCAACTGACAAAAAATAAAAGGGACAACAAAGTTGGCAATCTATAAAGCTTCCTGCACAATTCTTGGCCAACTGTCCTAATACCATTCCACTGAGTAGCATTTCAGAATAGAGATCTACTAAAAGCACTGCAAGCAGTTGACTCTACCTGGTTCATCTGTTGCTTATAGCAAAATACCGGAGGCTGGGCATTTTATGAAAAGAAAAGTATTTTCTCAGTTCACAGTTCTAGAGGTCCAAGAGCATGACTCAGCATCTTTGTAAGCCCTCCCCCGACTGTATCATAACACAGTAGGTACCAGTGTGGTGGGAAGCATGTGGAGAGAGGGACCACGTAAGGCAGAAAAGGAAAACTGGTGGATCCAGCAGCCAGGCTTGCTGTTTTTGTAACAACTCACTATCATGGCAACTAATGGAGGCCTCAAGGGAACTATATCCCTGGCTTCTGAGGGGATCACCTCCAGTGACCTTAAAGGTATCACTTCTCCCAACCTCATCATATTGAGGCCCAGGTTTCCAGTTATGGAAAAAAATAAAGAACAATAAACAAATTAGACCCTGTTAGTCACATACACGTGTAACTTTCACCAGGATAGATACATGCTAGGTTTGAAAACAAATATTTTTAAAATGTGAAATTATATGAAGTATCTTTTTTAACCAAGAGCAGAATAAACTACAAATCAATAGAAAACTGCAAAATTAACAAATATTCAAAAATTAAACAACACACTATTATTCAAAAAGGAAACTACAAAAGATTAGAAAGAATACAGTGAACAGAATGAACACACAATATATCCACGTTGGCTTGAATGGAAAATACCGCCCCCTAGTATATTTGAACACTTGGTCCTCATTGGTAGTGGTGTTTAAGGAGGTTATGGAACTGTTAGGAGGTGGAACCCTATTAGAGGAAGTATGTCAGTGGGGGCAGGCTTTGAGGATTTATAAACTGACACCACTTCTTGTTCTCTCTCTCGGCTTCCTGTGTGTGGATGAACTATGATTGGCCAGTTTCCTGATCCTGCCACCTTCCCCACTCTGAAGGACCCCCTCCCTCTAAGTGTAAGCCAAAGTAAACTGCTGATTACACTAATGCAGGTCTACAGTGAGAGCAAACAAGGAGGGGCAGAAAGAAATGAAAACGTGCAGCCTGGAGCGGAAGAACGCACAGGGAAGCTTCATGTTGCAGCCAAGAGCAGATCCCAAGATGTTTGGGATGCCAAAGCCATGAGAGCTCTGCCAAGAAGAGCTGTTCAAAGAGCATGAGATTAGCCCAAGAGAGGTGTGGTAGGCAGCAAGGGTAGAGGGGCAGAGCCATCTGAGCCCTTTGTAACTGAAGGCCCAGATCCTGGACACGAAGCTACAGGATTTCATGTGCCCTGCTGGGTTTGTTCTGCTTTGTTCCAGTCTTTCCTCATTGCTTGGAATGGTAATATGTAAGCTGTACTGCTTTACTTTGGAAGTATGTAATGTTTTTACAGGGAGGGGTGTCACAGTTTAAGAGATTGTCTTGCATTTCAGAAGAAGCTGATTTTTGAATAGTGTTGAGACTGTTAAAGACTTACAAAGACTTAGGTGGGGTGTTGTGGTACATGGTTTTAGTTCCAGCATACAGGAGACAGAGACAAGAAGATCTCTGAGATGAAGGCCAGCCTGGTCTACATAGTGAGTTCCCATCCAGCTGGGGCTATAGGGAGACCCTGTCTCAAAAAATAAAAACTATGAGCACTTTTGAATTTGAACTAAATACATTTTGGATCATGAAATGGTCATGAGCCAACAGGGACCAGGGCTGGAATATGGCAGCTAGAATGAAGTGAAGCGCCCCCATAGGCTCATATATTTGAACACTTGGTCCTCAGTTGCTGATATTGTTTGGGGGAAATTATGGAACCTTTAGGAAGTGGAGCCTTGCTGGAGGAAGTATGTCACTAGGGGTGGGCTTTGAGAGTTTAGAGTCTTGCCCCACTTCCTATTCTGTTTCCTGGGTATGGATGAAATGTGACCAGACAGCTTACTGTTCCTGCTGCCATGCCATACTGTGCTGGATAGCTTTAGTTGTCAACTTGACACAACTGGGTAGAGGGAGCCTCAACCGGGGAATTGTTTCCATTAGACTGGCCTGTGGCCATGCCTGTGGGGTATTTTCTTGATTTTTGAGTGATGTGGGAGGGCTCAACCACTGTAGGTGGCGCCACCCCTGGGCAGGTTGTTCTATATTGTATAAGAAAACAGGTTGAGCATGGACCAGGGGAGCAAGACTGTAAGCAACACTCTTCTATGGCCTGTGCTCCAGATCCTGCCTCCAGGTCCCTGCCCTGAGTTCCTACCTTGGGCTCCTTGATGAACTGTGACTCAGGAGAAGTAAGCCAAGTAAACCCTTTCCTCTCCAAGTTGGTTGGTATTGGTCAGAGTGTTTTGTTACAGCAATGGAGAAATACACTAGAATGCATGACTTTCCCACCATGATGAACTCTATCCTTCTGGAACCATAAGCCAAAATAAACCCATTCCTCCTTAGGTTGTTTTTGGCCATGGTATTTTATCACAACACCAGAAAAATACAATATCATAACTTGTGGACATGTGACATGGCACATTTCTGACTATAGACATATACACTAAGAGAGAAAAACTAAAATGACTTAAAATCTTATAAAACTAGAAGAGAGTAAACCAAAGCTGACAGAAGTGTCTTAGCCTGTTCTGCTTCCTATAACGAAATACCTTAGACTGAGTAACTTATAAAGAGCACAAAGGAAAACACTCTAGAAGAGACAAATTCAGACATAGAAAGTAGACTAATGTTTGGGACTCGGGGAGAGGGTCTAGGGAGTTAACTGCATAATGGCCACAGAGTTATCTGTCAGTAGTGATGGGGAAATTGGGGAACCAATAATTGTGATGGTTTCTTGACAAGGTGGAAATAATGCCACCGAATTCTACACTTAAAATGGTTAAGATGGAATATTGTTTATTACATATGTTTTATCACAATAAAGTTTAAATTTAAAAAATTTTTATGTGTATGAGTGTTTTGCCTGCATGTATGTACACCACGTGCATGCAGTGCCTGCAGAGACCAGAAGAGATCATCAGATTCCCTAGAACCGAAGTCACAGACAGTGTTTAGCACCCACGTGGGTGCTGGGAATGGAACCCAGGTCCTCTGCAAAAGCAGCAAACACTTTTAACCACTGAGGCATCTCTCCAGCCCCACAACAAAGTTTTTACAATGTAAGAAATAAAAAGTTAGTGAAACCTTTACCTGAAGCATGATATAACCACAAAAAGTATGATTAGAACGTAGGCCAAGTGGAACAGTGGGATCACAGTCTCGGACACTGCCTTGAATTCCAGCTGTCTGGAAAGGGATGTAAAGTAGACCACCTACAACAAAAACATGTTAGGAAATGAATATTGATCCCACAGTCAGTTACCAACACTACAGCAACAGTTTATTTTGTTGGTAGACTTGTGGTTTTAAAAAAAAGTGGAAGACTCGCCTCTTCCCACAAAATCCACATTGTGCCTTCCATCCTTCTTCAAAATGCAAACTTCAGTCATTTCTCAACCTTTTGCCAAAGATCAGGTGCAAACTCCAACGTTTAAACCTAAACAAACCAATGCTGAGTTTTACACACACTGTGAAACCCTGCCCTCACAGAGAAGTGTGGAAATCCTGGCGTTTAAAAAAATCTTTTAGTATTGTAATTGTATCAATGTCACTTTGGGAAAGACTTAGTCCTCCAGCAGGCATTCTGCTTTAACCAGGTTTTTATATATTGGTATTGCTGGCCCCAAAGCTTCTGAACAGCTATGTGCTTCCCAGGAAGCAGGGAGCCTTAGCTGAAACTAACCAGAAAAGGTACAGAGCTAGCCATCTTATTAAACAGCGCAACAGAACTTCAGAGTTCTGGTTCTTAATCCCCCTGAGCAGAAGCCTATTTTAGGGGCTCCCGGGTACCAGGGAGGACTCACCTTCAAAAGAAAGAATATTCGAGTGGCTTAATTAGAAAATCAATTTCTGCACCAAACGGGTTGATGCCGGTTCTTTGCTGGAGACCAGACTTTTGCATCCCTCGCATCGAGGTCGGATTAAGCTCCAAGGTCAGTAGAGCCCTAACTCCAGGGTCCGGTCCAACCAGACGCCTCCTCCTCCAGCCTCCCTCCTCCCCGCAAACTAACCTCCCCGTACCTTGACCTTATGCAGAGCCAGGCTCTGCTTCACTTCCTCGAAATGATCTAGAAAGTGGGTGAGCCAGGCCTTGCTGCGCTCACTGTCCTCGGGTCCTCGGTCTTCAGGAAGTACAGCAGCCGCAAGACGCGGGACTCCAGCAGGCGCTGGCCCATCCCGATCTTCTCGCCCAAGACATTTCCTCCGAAGGAGCCGGCCAGGTGGATGAAATGGCCAGACATGTTGTGGATGGGGAAGGTGCGGTTCCTCAGGTCCAGCGATGCTCCGGACTGCCAGGAGTACAGCAGCGGGTTGGGCGGCACGCACAGCCCCTGGTACTTGGCGCACACTGTGCGGTAGGTGATCCGCGTCCCGTTCTCCAGCACCACCGACAGCGCCTGCACCGCGTTGTCCAGCCTGCTCACCTCCGAGAAGATCTGCTTCTCCAGCAGCGAGTCCTCCAGCGATACCACCAGGATGGACGCGAAGTTGGCCTCGGAGCTGGTGCGCGACGCCGAGAAGCGGTATGTGTCGTTGGTTCTGAAGTGGCCCTGCACGAAGCGCCGCTCGGCCTTGGCTGGGCTGCCGACGGGCGTGTAATTCTCCATGTTCTCGTTCTCCTTCGGGAGGTAGACGAAGCCTGAGCCCAGCGCGGCGGTAAGCAGCGCCGGCACCAGCAGGAACAGCCAGGGGCGCGAGCCCACTGCGCCGCCCAGGCGCCGGAACAAGCCTGACAGCGGCGCCTCCAGGCCGTAGATGTGCAGCCGCGCGGTGGCGGCGCCTCCTGGCCCGGCGGCGGCGGGGGCTCCGGCGGCGGCCCGGGTGCGCAACTCGGGCCAGGCTCCCCGGGCAGCCCCACCTCAGGCTGGTCTTCCGGCCGGTCTTTGGGCTTGTCTTCGGAAGGCGCCTCCACCCACGCCTCGAAGGGGGGCGCCACCTTGAAAGACATCAGGTTAGTCGTTGTGGAGGAGCAAGCAGCTCCACCGTCGCCGGTACCCAACGATCTGGCCCCAGACCGTTGGCTGCTCCAGTGCCCGGATGCCAGAGGCAACGTTCAGAACGCTTCGTATTGGGTGACGTAGGTGGGGTAGTTAGGATTGGGCTACTCCAGGCCCGAGGACCAGGGTGCTTCCCCCTGGTCACAGGGCTCTGCCTCAAGCCAGGCCTACGTGCAGCATCTCCCAGTGCTCAGCAGCGGGGCCCTGGGTTGGAGACCAGGCTTTGCCCCTCCGGATGAGCCTCCCCGTTAAGTGATGACTTAACCTTTGCTTTAAAAAAGAAAAAAATTGGGGTTTAGGGATTTAGCTGAGTGGTAGAGTGCTTGCCTAGCAAGTGCAAGGCCCTGGGTTCTGTCCTTGGCTCCAGAAAAGAAAGAAAAATCTCCCTTTAGTCCCAGATGGCCTGGAACCGACCTTCCTGAGTACTGAGGTAGTGAGTAGTGCTGGTGCGTTTTTGTTTTGGGTTGTTTTGTTTTGTTTTTGGTCTTTTTGACACAGGATCTCCCTGTAGCCCCAGCTGTCCTGGAACTCACTATGTAGACCAGGCTGGCCTTGAACTCACAGAGATCCACCTGCCTCTGCCTCCCGAGTGCTGGGATTAAAGGAGTGTGCCACCACCCCGGCTTTATATATATATATAAACCAGTCTCACAGAAAAAAATTTTGAAGCCTGTTTAGATATGAGGAATTTACATGTCACGCGGACTCAGGTCTCCTTAGTGCTTGAGTACAGTCACCACGTCAGAGAGAGAGGGGGGAGGGGAGGGGAGGAGAGGACAGGAGAGGACAGGAGAGGAGAGGCGAGAGAGGAGGACGAGGATGAGGAAATTAAATTTCTGTACAGAAAATAAACCTATCAGCAGATCCAGATCACCTGTTAGGAGAAAATCTTAACCACGACTGTAAAAACCAGGCCAAGGAATCTTTTCCCAGCAGAGGTCAGAAGGCATCAAGCCTAGGTCAGTATGACCCAGGAAGCTGTGTCCATGTTAGTGTGGACAGCATAGCATCCACAAAGTTGTCCCAGTCGAGGCGTGTGTGATAAGCTGAGCGCTGCTCCCCCACACTCATGTGGCTGTAGGAGCATCTGCTGCAGCCTTCATGTTCAGTGCCCAGCGGAGCAGCAGCCTCTCTCCGTGGATCTAGGATCTTATTCTTCTCTGCCAAAGGGTTTTACCTTACCAAGATGAAAAGGGTTGAAAATACCTGTGAGTGCCTCACCTTTGGGGGGGGAGAAGAGAGAGAGAGAGAACTTCTGAACCTGCCTTTTTAATTCAACAGGGTATAGAGCAAGCCTGTCTTAATAGTATAGTTGGGTATGTAAGGCTTACATATTCTTTATATAACCCACACAGCAGATTCATAGGCAGGCACACAGATTTGTTCATCTAGTGTGAAACTCATGTGATAGAATATACAAATGAGAGCAGATTCATTTATTTGGTTTTTCTCACAGAAAAGTATGAAAGCTTAAGGAAAAGATTTTTAAAATGAGAATAATAAAATATTTTTAAAAGAAAGTAAATAACAAATAAATTTCCTGTGTGTTTCTTCTTAGAGCTCCCACCCCCACCTCTCTGTTTTTCTGAGACGGGGTCTCCCTATGGCCCCAGATGGCTTGGAACTCACTATGTAGAAGAGGCTGCCTTCAGTCTCACAGAGACAGAGCTGTCTCTGCCTCCTGAGTGCTGGGATTAAAGGCGTGCACCACCACGCCCGGCAACTGTATTCTTTTTAAAACATTTTATTTATTATTTTCATTTCATGTGTATGAGTGTATTTGGCTGCATGTATGTGGTGAGTGCTCCAGTGTCTTGCGATGCCACGGACATCAGAAGAGGGCTTACGGATTCCCCTGGAACTGGAGTTAAGGGTGGTCTGTAGCTGCCGTGTGGGTGCTGGGGGAATCAAACCCAGGTCCTCTGCAAGAGCAGCCAGTGCTCCAGCCCCTACCTAAAATATTTTATTTATTTGTATTAATAAACAAAAGGGCTGAAACATTTCATTCCATTTATTTAACTCTATTATCAGATATTGAGGCTGTTTCTGCCTTTGGCTTTGATAGTAGTAGAGTGAAAAATCGCTCTTTCTTTTGCTTTTTCAAGTCTATACTTGAATTTCCTATTTTTACATGTGGAATGAGTATATCAATGAATATGAATATTTTTAAAGATTGTTGAAATACAACAGTTACTTTTTTCTTGAAGGTTTTCTATTTACTCTCCCACACCAGTGTGGGAGGAAGTATCTTACTGTGTCCTTACTGATTCATTTATAGGAAAGGGAATTTGGAGGAATGGCTTTTATAGGTGGAAATGCTATACAGTTCTAAATATTTGCTCCTGCAGAGTTGTTTTTGGTAACTTTATTTCACATTGGACTATACTGAGGCAATCAATGTGATTGTAGTTACTTGTTAGGTGTACCATATTTCTATAATTAGGCAGTGTAGTTGATTGGAAATTTCTTTATTAAGAATGAAGCTTTCCATTTAAGAGTTAGATAAAAGATGACTAAATTTCTTCATAGTAGCAGTAAGTTAGAACAATGAACAAAATAAGTGAATAAAACCAATGATTTCAGATAGCGTTTGACCCTGTTTTGAATGGATGTCCTCTATTTTACCGTATTTGCTTGTAAACTGATTAAAATGATAATGTGGATCTGATTGCTCTTTACTTTTCCTTATAAATATAATAAATGATATTTTCATTCTAGTTTTTGATTGTTTTATATAATAAAGATTTGTGGGCCAAAGAAAAATTAAAATATAGATATAATGTAACCTTTATACATATTGTGCATTTGAAGCAGATTATAGAATGAACTATGGTAGGGAAGTTTAACCCTTTCTCCTTTGGTATTAGAGTGATACTGGCTTCATTGAAGGAGTTTGGAAGTTCTCTCTCCATTTCTATTTTTTGAATAAATTAAGTAGCATTGGATATAGATCTTCTTTAAATATCTCATAGAATTCTGCTGTAAATCCATCTGGTCCTGGGCTTTTTTTAGTCGGGAGGTTTTGTATTACTGTTTCAATTTCCTTATGTGTTATGGGTCTCTTTAAGCTGTTAATCTCTTCTTGGTTTAGTTTTGGTGGTTCCCATGCTTTCAGATACCCGTCCATTTCTTGTAGGTTTTCAAATTTGGTAGCATATACATTTATAAAGTATTCCCTTATAATGTTCTGGATCTTTGTGGTGTTGGTTGTGATGTTTCCCCTTTCAGCTCTGATTTTGTTCATTTGGAGGTGCTCTTTCTTTTTTTGGTTAACTGGGCTAATGGTCTGTCAATCGTGTTTATCTTTTCAAAGAACCAACTCTTGGATTCATTGATTCTTTGTATTCTTTTTTTCTATTTCATTAATTTCTGCTCTGATTTTTGTTATTTCTTCTTGTCTGCTGGGTTTGGGTTTCATTCGTTGTTGCTTTTCAAGTGTCTTGAGTCACAATGTTGAGTCATTTATTTGTGTTGTTTGTGATTTTTTAATGAAGGCACTTAGAGCTATAAACTTCCCTCTAAGGACTGCTTTCAACGTGTCCTAGAGTTTTTTTGTGTGTGTTGTATTATCTTTTTTCATTTAGTTCCAGGAAAACTTTCATTTCTTTCTTAATTTCTTCTTTGACCCATTCATCATTCAGGAGTGTGTTGTTT